AGTATTCCAACATGATAACGACCCCAAACACGATCACTGCCTTGCTAAAGAAGCTGAGGGTAAATGTACAAACGGCTTGCGTGCGTGGCCCCTTTAAGACTTGTTGCCTGTTACAAGGTCTCAGGTGTGAATGGGGAGCAGGTGTGTTAAATTTGGTGTTATCGCTCTAACTCTCTCATACTGGTCACTGGAAGTTCAACACTCTAATTAATCGCACATCAAATTTGGCTGAGAAATTACTCCCAAAAGATCATTTAAAGTCTTTGTTGTGTAAAGCATCAAACAGACATTACAAAAAGTAGCAAGAAATATTTTGTTTGATTCAACAAAATTTATTACACAAACTCTTCTGGACCATGAGAGTGAGTAAATGATGACTAAATTTACATTTTTGGGTGGGTGAATTATACCTTTAATTTTTTTTCTTTTAATGAAATTATATTCTAAATAATAAACTAAAACTGCCAGTAGGTGGTGGTAAATGTCTTAACGATTAAGTCATTGAGTCATTTATTCATTCATTTGATTCGATTCGTTCAAATGGTTGATTCATTCAGGAGTGAAATAAATGGTTCTTTATGAATGGTCCATTGAATCATTACTTACTTGACTTGAAGCGGATCATCATCACCATCAGATCGATCGATGTGTGACATCAAAGTACCGCAAGAGCTATAGAGAGCAGATGGCTCCTCATGCTTTTGAATCTCTCTTGTGGTACTTTGATGTCATACACCGATCAGTCTGTGCAGCGCCGCTTCAAATCCAACGCGCCTATAACCAATGGTTTAACGTGCCAAATGATTCACTCAATTCGTTCAAAACGTGCATTAAGAAATTAAATACCGCTGTGTGTTGCTCGGAGACGAACAGTTCTGCTTTGTCTTTATATTTTCGTTGGCAAAATTGAGCAAAACAGACAACATTGTGTCTAAAATAACACAATATTAACTTGTTACTTACTGAACTGTTGTATAAGATCAGGATCACATTTGCACTCGTGTGATATTGCACTTAGCTCATTGCTCGTGTGATATTGTTTAACTATATGATGTAAATATTAGACAAAAACTCAAAGAGGGGCATTTTTGCCCCATATCTTGAATTTTAGGGACAGTCTAACTAGGTTCTCTAGGCTCCATCACGCAGTGAGTTGTTGCCCTGCAATATATTTGTCATCAATTAACTGTATGAAATGTCAGATGACCCACATAGGTCTGGGGCGGGGCAAGTGCGTTAAATGAGTAAATAATTTTAACGGTTATTTTTAACCGTAATTAATTAATCTAATTAACACGTTAAATGGACAGCCCTAATATATATATACACACACACATGCATGCGCACACACATACACAGACACTCAATTAACTTTAAACCTGTGGTTTTGAAAAAAAGACAAATCCGAAACGTACATTGTTCTCTATGGCTAAGCGTCTGACGGAAGGGGTGGCCTGGGTCTTGTGACCTTTGATCTCCTGGTGCGTGTGCTCCTCTTGGGAAATGGCTGGCGTCTCCACCACATCCTCCTGAGGACCCTCCCCTGCAAGAGCCAGTGACACACTAAATAACTCAAAACAAGGTCAAGTACTTCTACAAATACTCTCAACACTCACCTTGACCTGCGTCCGTTTCAATGTCAACGAGAGGTTTGCCCACAAGGGCAATGGAATCGACATCATAGTAGAGTTTGCGAATGATTCCATCGTAACGGCTGGTGATGGTGACAGACGCTTTGTCACTCTGCACTTCACAGATGCTGTCGAACTGAGACACTTTGTCGCCTTCTTTCACATACCTGATGATGAAAGACAGATAATGGCGACCTCTCTTGGTAGATATTTGTAAGTGTCAAAAAAGAAATTAAACGTACCATTCTTTAACCGTAACTTCCATAATGCCCTCTCCGATATCTGAGAGCTTGAACTGCATAACTGGTCTTGCTGCAACTGCGATAAGCAGCATAAAGCGATTATAAATGCAGTTTACTAATTGAGAACACAGAGACGTTTATTACAAACGTTAAAACTCACCATAGCTTGTGCGAAAGAAGCGATGCTGTTGTCCAGCGATGAGGGAATATGAGTGGGGTCGGGATACAAAGCAAGCAGCCTGGAGCTTCGAGCAGCAGTGTCTGTGCAGGCGAGCAGAGACCTGAAGCACATGACACAGAACAAAAACACGATGTTTGCAACATTTAAACTCAATGGAACAGCATAATCTAAAAATACAGCATGCTAAACACACATAAAAAAGCAAAATGAAGACCAAAAGCACAAGTCTCTGAATAAAAATAATCGCTGCGTACGACCAGTTACAATTTAATGCCACGATTTACGATTTAATTCTAAAATTATATATAAAATATTAAACTTCTCCGTACATGCCAAAAAACATGAAATAATGTCTTGAAAAGGCTGCGTATAACCAGTTGCAAATGTATATATATAATAATTATTATTTATTTTATATATAAATATATGCAAATTGATTTTGTATTAAATATAAAAAATACTGCAGATTATTTCAAATTTAAATATTAATAAAATGTATACATTTACACTACTAGTGGTCTCATGCATATATTAATTATAAAGTAATATAAATAAATCATATTAATTATAATATTACATACAATAGTACATGTGAACTCGAAAGCGTTACATATGTCCGCTTACACACACACACACACACACATATATATATATATACATACATAATTTATTTAATAAATGCAAACATTTACACTAGTGTATAAAATTATAATTAGTGTTGTCAAACAAATAATTGCATCCAAAATAAATGTTTTTGTTTACATAATATATAATATTATTTATTAAATACATTTATAATATAAATAATATTAATACATAAATATATACAAGTAAATACACGTAAATATTTTCAAAATATATACCGTATGTGTGTGTATTTACATATACATAATAAATATACACAGTACTACACACATATATTATGTAAACAAACACTTTTATTTTGGATGCTACTAATATATTATTGTATTAAATAGCTACAAACATCTATCTACCTATACACGCACTCACACATATATACAGATAGATAGATAGATCACGCTAAATACTAAATTTATAAAGCTTTGTATAAGACTACAGAAAACTACATTTTTGTACATCTGAAACTACAAATATATATACTAAGCATTTTGCATATTGTATTAATGTCAACACATACCATTCATTAATTAAATTATTAATAAATTGTAGACATTTATACTAACCTCACACTATTTACACTAGACATTTACACTGGTCTCATATCTTTTTTTCGTTGTAAACAACAGTTTTATGCTTGCTTTGTAACTATTTTCTAGGTGTTTACATGTTGGCAACTGTCCACACACATCACGCAGGTCCAGTGCTTCTGCTTCAGCTGCAGGCTTTGTAATCGCTTACAAACTCTGATTTGCGCCTAAATTGACTCTAGATATCACTCGTGGACGTTAGATGTCATTGCAATTGTAAGATGCGTGTAAAATGAAAGGTGAAAACATACCAGGCGTCTCATAAACGCGAATGGAGCCCGCACAGTGATGACGGTCGCCATCTTTCTCCAGCGATTTGGTGTAACCGGAAATTACGTCACCCTCACGCCCCGCTCCACTGACCAATCGGAGAGCTTTTTGGTCAAGGGCAAATATCGCAGAGATATTTTAACAGAATATTTCTAATAAAAATAAAACCTTCGAATAGAACGAATAAATAGAGGAATTAATATAAAAAATTATATGAAATAATAAAGCAATAATATAAATATAATGATTAATTAAATACTAAATTCCTAATTGAAAAAAATAAAAAATGATAAACATCCAAATAAAGAAACAAAGGAAAAGGAAAGGAAGAAAAGATTAAAAGATTAAAATAGTTATATACAAAAGTAATACATATATTACTTCAATGTTCGTTTGGTGTCGTGTAGACCTTCTAAATGTTTATTCCATATATTTCAAATGACCCACAAAATACACCTAAGCCGTTTTAATTCTATGTATTAAAATATATATTTTCAGAACTGTTTGAATGACACATACATGTTATGACACCTCTAACATGTGTCAATAATACACTGTTAATAAACGTTTTAATAGATAATTTAACAGAATATTTCTAATAAAAAAGCTTTGAACAGAACCAATAAATAAATCAAAGAAAAAATAGGTTAAATTAATAAAAAAAAAAAAAACATTTTGATGACAAAGGGCAAATACTTCAGAGATATTTTAACAGAATATTTCTAATAAAAGGAAAAGCTTTGAATAGAACAAATAAACAGAAGAACTGATCAAATAAATTGAATAAATCAACATAAATGAGTATCAAATACATATATAAATTATTAACTACGGATAAACATTTGATAAAATAATAAAGTAATAAAATATTATATAAAATAAAAATATTTGTATGATTACTTAAATACATACATTTCTAACTAAAAAAAATGAAACAAAGGGAAAGGAAAGGAAGAAAGAACAAATATTTAAAAAGTTCAATACAAAAGCAACTAATATATGCTTAGACCTTCAATGCTGGTTTGGTTTCATGTACTAAATGTTTATTCCATATTGCCTATTTCCAACAAAATACACCTAAGCCGTTTCAGTTCTATATATTAAAAGATATTTCTTCAGGACTGTTTGAACGAAACATACACCTCTAAAATGTGTCAAAACATATCATAAAAATAGGGTTGGGTTTTTCAAAAAATATTTTGATGACAAAGTGTTGTACTGCTATCAGCTTATCCACCAGTTCTCGGTTCATTACGAATCGGACATGCTCACAAACAAAAAACATTCTCGGTTCAACGAGTCAGTTAGTTGACTCGAAATCCGCTCAGTGCTAATGGAATGAACTGAGTGGTTTAGTGAACCGGTTCACACAATTCACTGAAAAGATCCGATTCAATAGAACGATTCATCAACGAATCGGACATCGCTCTTCTGCGCATGCCCAGAGCCCATCCGCCACAGCAGTGAGACTGGCAAGAGACTAGTTGCCGGAGTGTGATCGTTTTGCCAGGAAATTCGCTCGATTCTTATTTGTGGTCAAGTCAAATCCATCTTTATTTATTTAAATCAACCCAACCGCGCACTAAGTGTGTTTCTTATTTCAGTTGCGAGGAGCAGTTTCCCTAGTGCCAGAGCTTTTGTTGAGAAGTTCGCGTTTATCGCGGCATTGTTTGTGGCCATACGCCGGTTTATATTAACTTTAGTACAGTGTGAAAGTCGCGCGAGGTCTCTTTATCCCCCCCCCCACGCGCGCGCTTTGATACATCGTAACAATTTCTCGCTTTTCGCGAAAATGGCCGCAACTACGTTTGAAATGGACGGAAGTGTAATGGAAGGGGTGAGTTTTCATTTTCGAGCCTTATTTATTTAATATTGAAGTATTCATATTTAACATATCAGAATGGCATCACCAGAAATAAATGGAGTAGTTGTCGGTAATTATTAAAACAACAATTTTGGATGTTTGTCTTTAAAGGGAGGACAGATTTTAAGGGTGTCTGCGGCGCTGAGTTGCATCCAAGGGGCGGCAATCAAAATAAATAAAATCCGAGCCGGTAGAAGCACACCGGGTTTGAGGTAATGAAGAATTTGTTTTAAACGCATTATACATTCATTTCCGAGGCTTTATGTACATTTAAATGGTTATTTTTTATATGTGGAACATCCTCCATTGCCCCCCCTCCTTCCTATTCAACTGTGAACCATGAAACAAAGCAAAGTTGGTTTTTGGAGTCTAGTTATTCAGGCATTATACATTCATTTCCGAGGCTTTATGTACATTTAAATGGTTATTTTTTATATGTGGAACATTCTCCATTGCCCCCCCCCTCCTTCCTATTCAACTGTGAACCATGAAACAAAGCAAAGTTGGTTTTTGGAGTCTAGTTTTTCAATTTACACTTCACTTTTGGTGTCAAGCATACAGATATACGACTATATATTAAGTAAAGCTGTTTTAAGCAATTGTTTATCCCACAGAAATGCTGTTAAATACTTTTACCATGAATTTTTTAATGGGCCCTTTGTTAGTTGGCACTGAAGCACATGGCTACTTTCCATGTTATCCTTCACTTTTATCCCTTTAAAAGGTCTGGATTTTTATCGAAGCTCTTTAGTAACCCATTTTTCTTGTTGTTGTGCAAATGTATTGCTGTTTTAAATTTAAACATAAAGATGCGGCCTACATAAAAAAGTTCTTAACTCAATCTAGTCTAATTTCCTGTCGATAAATGGAGCAGATCTGATTCTTTCGGTCGAAACGAGATGATTTCGAACTGCATGCACTTAGTTTTCTCTTCAATTGTTATCCTGTTCAACGTCACCAGGCCACAGCATCTGTCAGGTCTCGAGCTGGTGAGGGACATGTGCAACGGCAATCTGGAAGGAGCCACAGTGGGATCCACGGAAATTACGCTTACTCCTGGGAAAATCAAGGGGGGGAATCACATCGCAGACACTCAGACGGCCGGGTAAGTATCGTTTTTAGTCATTTACGTTGCCTTGTTTGTTCCAAACTGTGAAATTAGTTTCACAGCATGATGAAGCACTTTTGGCTCTAAGTGTACTTGTGTTGTCTGGGCTGTAGAAGCGTGGGACTGCTGATGCAGATCTCACTGCCGTGTGCCCTGTTCGCTCAGGGTCCGTCAGAGCTGTGCCTGAAGGGAGGAACCAATGCTGAGATGGCACCCCAGATCGACTACACGCTGAAGGTATGTGTAGACATATGTTTGGACCGGGTTGAGTCATCAGCTGGACATCCTAATAATTCTGCCGTTCAAATCTCTTTTAGGTCTTCAAACCAATCGCGGAGAGATTCGGAGTTCAGTTTGACTGCGATTTGAAAATGAGGTATTTATGCGCAACTTTGGTTCAGATGTGATTGTAATCATTAAAAGTAAAAGCTAAACCATTTTCAAAATATTTTTTTCGTCGTAAACAGAGGTTACTATCCTAAGGGAGGTGGTGAGCTGGTGCTCAAGGTGAACCCTGTGAAAGAACTGAGTCCCATCAACCTGACCGAAAGAGGAAATATCACCAAGATCTACGGCAGGGCCTTCGTGGCTGGAGTGCTGCCCTTTAAGGTATAAGATTGGTAACTTTTTTTAAATTTTGATTAGCTACACAGTTAACTATACAGTTTTTTGTTTCTAAATGGCCATGGGAAAAAATTCTCCCACAATGTTTAAAATAAACGGCTTTAGTACGTAGACTTGAAACGACAACAACATACTTAATTTTTTATGACTTCGCCACATCATTTTTCTTTTTCATAAGTAGCATTGGGGCAAAAAACTCGTAAGACACAATGCTTACTCACCAAGATCTACGGCAGGGCCTTCGTGGCTGGAGTGCTGCCCTTTAAGGTATAAGATTGGTAACTTTTTTAAAATTTTGATTAGCTACACAGTTAACTATACAGTTTTTTGTTTCTAAATGGCCATGGGAAAAAATTCTCCCACAATGTTTAAAATAAATGGCTTATTAAGTAGACTTGAAACGACAACAACATACTTAATTTTTTATGACTTCGCCACATCATTTTTCTTTTTCATAAGTAGCATTGGGGCAAAAAACTCGTAAGACACAATGCTTACTTTTCCCCTTTTTTTTTTTACTTCACTACACTATTTACATTTCAATTTTTTCAACTAGTCTTGAAAAAAAAAAAAAAGCTCAAACAACAACAAATTTTTGGCTCCAGTGCATTTTTGATTTTTGATTATTTTTTTCCCCCCCCCGTGGGAATTTCCCCCTTGGTTTTTTTTTTTTGTAATGCTCCTAAACAAAACGTTTTTTTTTTTGCATGATTTTTGGTGGGGAGAAAAAAAATCTCCTAAACCACAGCTTTCATTTTTGTAAATTCAGTAAATAGTTTACGTTTCTTTTTCCATAACTAGCCTTTGGGGGGAAAAAAGCTCTTAAACCACAACACGTTTTTTTCTTTTTCTTCGCTACATAATTAGTGTTTATTTATTTATTCGTGAATAGTGTTGGATAAAAAGCACCTTAACCACAACATTTTTTTGATTTTGTGTTTTACTTGCGTTTGTTACATAATTTACGTTCGTAGCCTTAAATGCTCTTAAATCACAACATGCCTTGTTTTTGTTAATTCACTGCATAATTTACGTTTGTTTCTCGTAACTAGCCTTGGTGATAAAAGCTATATTAACCAAAACATGCTTTAATTTGATATACTTATTGAGATAATTTACATTTCTTTCAACACTATCTAGTCCAGAAGTGGCCTTGAGAAAGCAGAGTAAATCACAACATGCTTTGTTTTTAGGCTTTAATCAGCATTGTTTGGAAATAGTGGCATTGATGTTTATAAAATCACCATTTGCTTTGCTACTGCTCTTAACTTCCCTATAAACTTCGGTCTAATTGTTCTTGATGTTCAGTTGGCGAAGGACATGTCTACAGCGGCGGTCCGCACTATCAGAAAAGAAGTTAAGGATCTGTACATCAACATTCAGTCTTTGCAGGAGAAGGACAAGGCCTGCGGCAATGGCAACGGGATCATGTGAGTGCATCCGATCTCAAACCATCCGCCACAGTTGGTTTGTGATTCCGTTTTTACTAACGTATGTATATTTGGTGTCTCCTGGCAGAATAATTGCAGAATCATCCTCCGGCTGCATATTTGCAGGATCATCTCTTGGCAAAAAAGGTAAGGCTTGTCTGGCTGCCCAGTCCTGAAGAATGAATTCAGTGTCATAGTTTTGGCACTAGAGGGCGGTACGTCACAATGAAAAGCCTGTTCATGTGTGCTTTGACTCTTTGGCTCTATTTTTGTCTTGTGTTCAGGTGTATATGCTGACAAAGTTGGCATCGAGGCTGCAGAAATGTTGCTAAGAAACATCAGGCATAATGGTTGCGTGGACGACTTCTTGCAAGACCAGGTCAGGCACACAAATGCTTGACTGTTTCAGTGCAATATAATAAATACGTGTTTTTCTGGAGAGTAATTATACGTTTTATTTGACTTTTTTTCCCGTAAGTAGCATTGGGGGGAAAATCTATAACCAAAATGTTCTTTTGTTTTCTTTCTTTCTTTCTTAAAATTTGTATTACTTTTTTAAAAATACATTTCGCTGGGCTAAAAACTCAATAGTTAAAATTGCTTATTTCTCTGGATTTAAACATTCTTCGAAACATTTGTGATAATATAAGTACACAAGTCAGCAAAATATATAACACTGTTCTAGTGGTTTTTGGATATTTTAATAAAAAAATCTTTCATATTGTGCCTTTAACTCGTTTTGGTATTTTTACAGGCAAAATTTGTTATACGCAAATCAGAGGATGAGCACGCTAACAACGATACCTACATTATCGAGTGCCAAGGAGTGGGTGCCACCAATCCTAACTTGTGAACGCATGGATTCGTCGTCCCCAGCTGAGATGAGGAGGACTTGTAGCAGAGACACACTACTACTACTACTGTAACTGACCGGATGACACAAAGATAACTTTATTATCTTTATGTTCTTCGCGATTAACGATTAGTTTTTTTGCGCTGACCACAGAGTCTGTCCATATTTGCCCCCTGTTGTGTCCCCTTCAGAAACTTTCGTTGTTACTCAGGGTATTGCCTTACAATGTAATGAAACGGACACTTTGAACTCTTCACGCAATATTCGCAGAATCCTTACCGTTTTCGGGCAAATTCGCTTTCCGCACGCTAACACAAGCCTTAAAGTTTCATTAAACCCTTTCCGATACTGTTAACGATAACAATAGCTTAACCAATTTGCATGGACGTAGTAAAATACATGTATGTCACTGGTAAATTAGTGCACTGTGTGTACGAGGAAAACATTTTTCATCCAAGTTTATGGTTCCTTGTAGTTGCTTTTTGTTTTTTTGTATTTGTTATTTAAGTCGTTTCTACATTGTTTCCGAAATTTCATTGCCATCTTATTTTATTTTCATTGACGTTCTTTGCTAATTTAGTCTTTTTGACTATGAAAGTGATTCATATTCGGTCATTATTTCTAATTGTTATTTATAAGATGGAATTTCAGATTTTTTTTGCGGGGTTTTTTTGTGGCTACTTTAGATGACCATGTTCTTTTGTTATTTGCATTAAAAAAAATTGTGGAGAAAAAATACAATAAAATAAGAGATAGGCATACAATATTTCAATATTCCGTGTTTTTTTTCCATATAATTGGATGATTTATCTGTATTTAACGTGACAAAAACGAATATTGTTGTTTACTCACCCTCAAGCTGTTCCAAACCTGTGTGAGCTTGTTTCTTCTGTTGAACACAAAAGAAGATATTTTGAAGAATGATGTGCAACGAACAGTTGACGGTAGCCATTGACTTCAATTGAATGGAAAAAATACTATGGAAGTCAATGGCTACCGTCAACTGTTTGGTTACTCATACGGGTTTGGAACAACTTGACAATTTTTTTGGGGGTGAACTATCCCTCTTTTAAAATCAAACCATCCCAGGCTGTTATAATGTAATTCAGGCCTTTCGCATTTATTTGTCCATCTTAAAGACTCTTATGGGCATTTAAAGCTGTTTTATGTGTCTTACACCCATATAAGGGGCTACTAAATGACGTACCTAAGTGAAAGCACTTGTCTGGCTTACAATGCAAGTCTTCACATTTAGCTCACCCTAGAGACGGCCTACAAGTGTTAGCTGTTGCCGGTCCAACTGGAGGGTCTTCCCTCAGCTCTTTTGTGCTCCACAATTACTGCCGGCAGATGCCAGGACAATAGAGGGAGTAGAAGAGAATAAGGGAAGCCATGTGATGATACGAGAATATGCATAGAGTCCTTGGGTCTGGAAAGGGCACATCTACATTGTTAAAAGGAGAAGGCTCCCCTCAGGGGGGTGAGGGGTGTGGCTTCTGAAGTGCATTCAGTGGGCTGTCAGTCTGATCTTTGGCTGTCCGGTGCATCTGTTGCTGTGGGGAGTAATTAAACACTGGCAAAGCTCAAAAGAAAATCTCTGCATATCGTCTGGATGATCAAACTAATAAATGAATTTTAACACTAGGAGTTTTAAATGAATTCCTTCTATATAATGAAATCATTTTATATTTAAATGAATATATTTATGTATGTATTTTAATTATAATGTTAAAATTGAGATTTACTTGTTTTGTTTTAATTAATAAAAAGTTAAAATTGAGATTTTATTGGTTAAAACATTTTTAAAAAGCTGCTGATACAAGTGAGTATATAAGAAAAACTTTGCTTATGATCTGGAAAATCAAACAAACAAACAGTTAACAATGAATTTTATATATTTACATAGTATTTTATAGATAATTTTTACGTTAACTTTATTATTGGGTTTTTAAGAATAATTGTAAAATTATTGATTTTTAATCAATTGGATATTTTAATTTAAACTGGAATTGTTAAAAAAAAAACTGTAAAGTGAATAATTACGGTTTATAGTGACGAAACATATCACTATATCTTTACACAGGGTATTATTAAAATCAATCAACCAAACACTGGCATTATTAAAATTAAGGTTTATAAATGATCAATGTGGTTATAAAAATTTTATTAATTCATGAATTTTAAATAATCTATTTGTTAATTTTATAAGTGGGATTTCGATATACATTTTTAACTTTGGATTTGTTTTAAAATTGTAAAAAATAATAAAGTAAAATGAATAATAAATGTAAAATGTAATTATTAAAATGTAATACTGTATGTGTGTGTGTGTATGTGTATACAAATATATGTACTTTTGTTATATAAATATTTTATGTTAGAACAATAAATTAATAAATTATTTAATTGGTTTATACATTTTAGAATCTAACTTTAATATTTTGAGATTAATATTAAAATTAGATTTTTGTTATTTGTTACAAATTAATTAAAAAAAAATTAAGTGTTTATTAATTGTTTAAAATCACAATAAGTTACTGATCTCAATCTGCCTGGCAATGCCTTAAATGTAAAATGTAATTATTAAAATGTAATACTGTATGTGTGTGTGTGTGTATGTGTATACAAATATATGTACTTTTGTTATATAAATATTTTATGTTAGAACAATAAATTAATAAATTATTTAATTGGTTTATACATTTTAGAATCTAACTTTAATATTTTGAGATTAATATTAAAATTAGATTTTTGTTATTTGTTACAAATTAATAAAAAAAAAATTAAGTGTTTATTAATTGTTTAAAATCACAATAAGTTACTGATCTCAATCTGCCTTGCAATGCCTTAGAAAGGTTGCTGTGTAAAAAGGCTTACAGCCTTGGCATATGGGTTTGTACATGAATCATGCTGTGATGACTGCTATGGCCAGAGCTGACTGAACATAAAGTACATCAAGTTTTATGATTTTGCAGTTTGGTGCATAAATATGACATCATAGATAACAACACATTTCTGTGTTACCTACTTTGATATGCAGCATAAAGATTAATGCTAGGCAATAATACACCTGTAATGTTCAATGGACCACCACTTACATCATCATTTGTTTTTATATTAAACTCTGACAGTGTTTTTAATAACCGTACGCACTTCGCCCCACATTAGATTAGATATGGTGACAGGACGGATAACACAAGCACACTGGATTTGCCAAAGCATGAAACTCCATGGTGATAAATCTATTTCAAACATTGGAGTATATTATTGGGAGTGTTTCAGTCTACGCACATTAGATTTTTTGTTATAACATATAAATTAAATACTTTTTGTCCAAAGTTTGAAAGGGTCTATTTAAGCAAAGTCTTTGAGTACATTTTTGTAATTTAATGTAATATATACATATATACTGTGTATATATATATATATATATAGTGAAGTACATATAAGAAAACATATTTTAAGAAAAGCTTTGTATATACAAAATGGGATCATCAAAATAATTCATTTTATAGATTTAAATCTATATTCTAGCTATCTATTTAGGTGAGTGATTTTTGAAGGGTGTAAGGCAGAAGCAGATACCTGTATTTCTACATCACTTCCCGCCTTACTAACAATGAAACTACCCTTCTCCCCTTATCAGTATACCTCAAACCCAGTCGTAAGTTCAACACTTAAAATATGGTCTCAGTTTAGACAAACGTACAAACTTAAGGACTTCTCCATGTTAAGCCCTCTCAGTAATAACCCTCTATTTCCCGCTGGTAAAATAGACTACACATATGTACAATGGCAGAGTATTGGATTGGCTAAATGCAGTGATTTTTACATTGACAACACTTTCGCTAGTTTCAATGACCCTCTACAGAAATTTCAGCTGGCACATTCGAACCTGTATTTTCAAGTCCGACATTTTATTCAATCTCAAAATTCCACCTTTCCTAACCTACCCCCTACCTCACTGATGGATCAAATTTTACAGATTCCTGTAACCCCCAAAGGTCAAATTTCTGCATTATACAATGTGGTTGTGTCTGCAAGTAATACTTCAATTGAAATTAAAGAAAAGTGGACCAAAGATATAGACTATGTAATGATTGATGAAATATGGGATGATGCTCTAAAAAGAGTAAATGGATCAACCACCTGTGCACGCCTTAGTCTTATACAATTTAAGATACTTCACCATACATATTACACTAAATCTAGACTTTCAAAAATGTATCTAAACGTTGATGACAGATGTGATCGATGTAAAAGGGATAAAGCTGATCTAATTCATATGTTTTGGTCCTGCCAAAAGCTGAAAAACTATTGGACATTTATATTTAAAATACTAAATGAAGCCTTTAACTTGAATACAACACCCTGTGTTGAAATGGCTATCTTTGGAGTGCCAGAACATGGAATACCTCTGACTAACAATATGGAAAATGTTTTTGCTTTTGCTTCATTATTAGCAAGAAGGAGAATACTGTTGGAATGGAAATCAAAAAATCCACCAAAAACTTCAATGTGGATTTGTGATTTGATATTATATTTAAAACTAGAAAGAATAA